CACCTGAGGTCAGGAGTTCGAGACCAGCCTGACCAACATGGTGAAACCCTGTCTCTACTAAAAATACAAAATTAGCCAGGCGTGGTGGCACATGCCTGTAATCCCAGCCACTTGGGAGGCTGAGGCAGGATAATCGCTTGAACCCAGGAGGTGGAGGCTGCAGTCAGCTAAGATCTCACCATTCTACTCCAACCTGGGTGACAGAGTGAGTCTCTGTATCAAAAAAGAAAATTTTAAATAACAAATCGGCCACCCACTTGCATTAATTTATTCACTAGTCATTCATCTGCTATTACTTTGCTCCCATGTGAGTTTTTTAAATTATTATCTTAACAGAAAAATCACACTCTTTATTTTTGAATTATGATCTAGAGTTCAGTAAAGAATGCATTTTTCTGTTCATTAAATGTGTTATGAGTAACAGTATCTTGTTTTGCTGTACTTCCAAGCAAAATGTAATTCTTTCAGTCCTCCCTACCATTCTCACTCCATAATAACATTACTTAAGATTTGTATAGCATGACATTTGCAACGTGCTTGCGTTTTACACTGATTCAATGTGTGCAGTACAGTGATGTATACTGAAGTATTCACATCCTCATCTTAGAAATGAGGAAACAAATTCAGGGAGGTTATATGATTTAACCACACATAAGGAGAGGCTGCATTCTCTCTGAGCCCTCCTACCTCACATAGCCACCAAGCTCCTTTGTGCAGATCCCATGGAGGGTTGGAGTGGCCGCGCTGAGGTAGGTGCAGGCCACAGACTGCATGCAACAGGAACATCGCCTGCTTCCCAGAACTGCTGTTCTACTGCCTGGGGAGCACACCCTTCTGAGAGCTGACTTCTGACAAAGCATGGTCCTTGGGCTTGCCTTGTGTCTTCTTTCCTGCAAGAAGTATCTTCCAGCGTCCCACCAACATTTATTTCTTAAAAAGGTTGCTCCTTGCCAGGCATTGGTTGACCAGCGGAGGAGCTCATGTTAGTTTCAGTACAATGTTGGCAGCAAGCCCTTGAGTGCCCAGCAACACAGGTTGTTCATGATCTAAGATTCATGGAAAACGTCTTCTCCGCTGTTACCTGCAGCACATCAACACCTGAATTTTCTTATCAGCTTGTGTGACTATTGAACCACGTGGAACCCAAGCTTAGTCAATAGGAAATATAGAAATATTCATTTGTTCAACTGTATATTGAGGGCCTTGTATATATTCCAGGGGCTGCCTCTAGGTACATAAGAGATGGTCCCAGGCCTTAAAGAGTTTATAGCCATTCTTCATTCTTCAGCTAATATGAACATTGAATCTTTTACATTAGAAGTTGCCTATGCAGAGTACACCTATAATCCCAGCAACCTGGGAGGTCAATGTGGGAAAATTGCTTGAGGCCGGGAGTTTGAGACCAGCCTGGGCAACGTGGTGAGACCCCATCTCTACCAAAAATAAATTTTAGAAAAAGTTACCCTTACATTTCTCTCTCTAACCCAGCCTCAACTTTGCACTTAGGCAGTAACTCTTTGTACAACATTCCTGGCACCATATTCAGCTTTTATAGAACCCTCCAGGCAAGGACAGGTCACTGCTAAGTGAGAGAGCTCTGGTTATTATATTCTTCCTTAAACACTGCACTCAAAACAACTACTTCCTTCTAACGTTGGTCCCTTGGTTCACATTCTGCCCTCCTTTCGATTTTTCATATGGCATGGTTTACAAAAGGCCCCTTGCCCTCCAAGAGATTTCGGTGTCAGTGTGGTGCTGCTGAGTCTGTGTGACTGTTCACACACTCGGGCTCCACTCACACACCCCAAGATTGCATGAGCTTTTGCTGGCAGCCCCTCACAGTCAGGCCCCAGTGAACCCCTGTCCTCTGAAGCTGCGGGTAGGAGCGCCTCAAGGGCATCTAGATGTCAAAGAAGAGGATGCTCACATGTGCCTAAGGGTCATCCATGAAGGCTTCGTGGAGGAGGTGGCCTTTGGGATAGATCTTAGAAAGCTCAGAGAGTTTTAACAAAGGTTGGTCTTTGAAGATTACTAATCTTTTGACTTTATAAATATTTGCATGTATCTTCTCCCAGTCTGTCTCTTATTTCTTGACCTTGTTTATAATGTCTTCTTAAAACAAGTTTTAAATTTTGCTGCAGTGAAATCTATATATCATTTCCTTTATGGGTTATTCTGTTGTTACCTCGTTTAAGAAATCCTTCTCTACTTCAGGATAATAGAGTTCCCACTGTTTTCTTCCAACATTTAGAGTTAGAACTTTCAAGTTTATGCCTTTGTTCCATATTGGGTTTATTTGGAGGCCTGGTATGTGGTAGGAATCTAATTTTATTTCTCTCCAGCCAAAAGTCAGATGGTAGTCAGCCTTTCTCTGTTGATTTGTGTCACCTCTATCATATGCTATCTTGCACATGCTGAGGTGTGTTTGTGGGTTCTTTCTTCGTTGCCATTGATTAATTTGTCTATAGTTGTGCCAATACCCATGGAATTTATTAGCATAGTTTTGGGGTATGATTGATAGCTAGTAGAAGAGTCCTATTTCTTTGTTCTTCTGGTTTTATTTATTTTTAAAGTTATCTGACTATGTATGCCAGTTATCTGACTATTTATGCCATTACCCTGTGTTAGTTCACTCTCAAGTTACTATAAAGGAATCCCTGAGACTGTTTAATGAATAAAGAAAAGTCATTTATTTTGGCTTATGGTTCTGAAGGCTGTACAAGCATGGCACCAACATCTGCTGGGCTTCTGGTGAGGGCCTCAGGAAGCTTCCACTCAGGGCAGAAGGCAAAGGGGGAGCCAGTGCATCACATGGCAAGAGCGGGAGCAAGAGAGGGGGTGGGAGGTGCTAACAAGCAGATCTCTCGAGAACTCAGAGTGAGAACTCACTCATTATCATGAGGACAGCACCAAGCCATTCATGAAGGATCCGCCCCCATGATCCAAACACCTCCCACCGGGCCCCACCTCCAACACTGAGGATTACATTTCACCATGAGATTTGGAGGGACCAACATCCAAACCACATCAACCCTTTATTGTAAGTTTTAGAACTAATAGGCCAAGTAACCACAAATGAGCTTGGGATTTTTATTGGACTTGCATCGAACTGAGTAAGTTTCAGAGAAGTGACGTCTGTACAGTATTAAGTCTCCTCATCCACGAGCAAACTATTTTTCTCCATTGACTCAGACTCTTTTTATGTCCCTCAGTGAAAGGTTATAAGGCTTGCACCTTCATTTCTTTTTATTTGTTAGAACATTCAATATTTAAGTTCCAGACCACAGAACACCTCTACAGTAATAAAAACTGTAGTAATGAAAAACATGTTTTAAAGCAGTTTTGGGTGCTATCAGGGTTGGGAGGGGAAGAGTGCTGGCTTTTATTTATTTTCTCTTGGGTAACTCTTGTATCAACAGTATTTCATACAAATATGACATTTGCTGTTGTCAAGCGAAGTCCTTGAGGCATACCACAGGAGACTTCCCCTTGGTTCACATCTGTTCCATCAGCATTTGGTTCAGCAGTTGTTCACCAAACAGTAAATCCACTAATTGCATCATACATATGCTTTTTTTTTTTTCTTTTTTTTTTTTTTGAGACAGAGTTTTGCTCTGTCACCCAGGCCTGAAGTGCAGTGGCGCGATCTCGGCTCACTGCAACCTCCACCTCCCAGAGTCAAGCGATTCTCCTGCCTCAGCCTCCTGAGTAGCTGGGATTAGAGACGTGAGCTGCCACACCCAGCTGATTTTTGTATTTTTAGCAGAGACGGGGTTTCACCATGTTGGCCACACTGATCTTGAACGCCTGACCTCTAGTGATCCACCCACCTCAGCCTCCCAAAGTGCTGGGATTACGGGTGTGAGCCACCACACCTGGCCACATATGAATTTTTACCCACAGAAAGATTGTGGATAATTTTGCCAAATGTGTTTCTTAAATTTAGAATTACTTTATCTGTAGAAGATTCCTTTCCTAATGAATCATTCTTGTTTCTGAAGATCCCTTGCTGTATGCTACCAGTAGTCTGTGTCCAGGTCTTCAGTCTAACATTATGGAAATCATCTCCCCCAACACACTTATTTGCCTGTATCTAGTCTTCTCACGTTTCTTCCATGCCACATGATTTCTCATAATTTGCTAAAGTGACAGTGGGTTCAACCTCTGATTTTCCAATATAGTGTTTGATCACATCAGCATTTATGTTAAAATCTCAATCCATTACTGCTCACGAAAAAATACTTGTTTTTAGTATTGCTACTTTTTCTGTAGCAATACTGTGAACCCGTATTCAGACCCACTTGAAAACTAGCACTCACAATTTCGTTGGGAGGCTCCAGTCCTGACATATATGATTATGTAAAAATTATAGTAAACAGGCCAGGCGTGATGGCTTATGCCTGTAATCCCAGTACTTTGGGAGGCCAAGGTGGGCAGGTTGCTTGAGTCCAGGAGTTCAAGACCAGCCTGGGCAACATGGTGAAACCCAGTCTCTACAAACAAATGCAAAAAAAAAAAAAAGACAACAAAATTAGCTTGGAGTCATGGTGCATCCCTGTAGTCCCAGATACTCAGGAGGCTGAGATGGGAGGATCACTTGAGCCTGGGAGGTTGAGGCTGCAGTGAGCTGAGATTGTGCCACTGCACTCCAGCCTAGGCGACAGAGTGATACTGTCTAAAAAAAAAAAAAGAAAGAAAGAAAAATTATAGTAAACTACATTTTTTTAAACGTGACAATGGATAAAAAATGGTTACAACTAGATAAGCTGCCTCTAAATTGCCTGAACACCTAAGGTTTATTTGCTAGTTGACATCTGATCTATTTCTGACACTGAAAATTTCATTGCTTTGGGATGCTAAAAGGGAAAAAGAGCATTTGCTAGGAATCCTGTAGTTGCTGAGGGGGTACCCTGATAGGGAATTTTAAGCAATTACAGAAAATCTCACTAAACTTTAAAAAAAATCTTTAACCAGATTAAACTTATACGATTTTGTTATAATTTGTGTTTCTCCAGCTTCCAGTTGTGGACAAGATAAGAACCATTGCCCAGGCTGTCTATGGAGCCAAAGATATTGAACTCTCTCCTGAGGCACAAGCCAAAATAGATCGTTACACTCAACAGGTAAAAGTTGTACTTTTAGGGGAAAAGAAAAAATCCACCGTAGGCTCTCAGAATACTCAACTTGACTTGAGTATTTGTACTTGTCTCACTAGCTACCCTTTGCTTAATCTATTTTATGGTTAACAAAGATGAAAGTAATATCCTCGGGATATTACTTTCGGATATATTAGACTATATTTAGAACTTTATGGTGAGAAATACATCCTCTGACCCACGCATCATTTACTTCTGTGACTATAAATGTGTCTGATATGGGTGGTATCCCTGTTTGTAGGTGATATGTGATCTTTCATCCCTCCCACTCAGCCCAGAACGTTGAAACTATCCTTTGGAGTATAGCTGCGGAGTCAGATTTAGATGAATTGCAATGCTTCCTCTTCCTTGCAGGCCTCCTACTACCTTAAAAATGCTAGCATGGTGCCGGGGTAGGCAGATAGGAGTGCACCCTATAAAGATGGGAATATTTGGTGTTCTTCTTACATAAGCGGTTCACTGGCTTTTTACTGAGCTTGTCCACTGAGGTTGAAGGCTCCATCACCTTCTGCCTCTAGCCACTGACAAAGGCAAGTAGGCAAGCAGCTGGGAAGGTGGCTGTGATCTGACAGCATGCGTCACCATCTAGTCCAGTGACAGTCATGATCAATCAACTCCATTCCAGGAAGCTCAGCCACCTTCACCAAAAGGACCATATGCCTCGAGTGTCCCTCCTACTTTGGCATAACCAGATAGATAGAAGTCAGAACACTTTAAGAGCCTGCTGGCTAAAGAGCTTCGTGATAGGTAGTGTGTTGACCTTTTCTTTAAAACAAATCTCCAACTCCTTATTCTTTTTTGTAAACCCATTTGAAATTTTGTTAAATACTACCATTGCCAGCCAGGGTATTTATTCTCCTAGGTTTGGTAAAATAGTCAGCAACTCAGAAAGTTCTCACTTCTGAGAATTTTCCCTGTATGTTCTTGGCTTATCCTTTACAGAAAGGATTTCCAAGCACTGCTCTGTGCACAGGCATTGTGGTGAAATTTTCATTCATGTGCAATAAGCCAAGTAAAGTAAGGCCATTCTCATGAGGTTGGTTTGGTTTTTTTCTTCCCATGAGTTTTTAATACTGATATTTAAGGCTATCATTTATTCTCATATTAAGTCTTTTCTCCTTTCAGTGTTACAATGTCATTTCTTTTATGAAGTAATCTGGTGACAGTTTATGGCGTATTGGTTGGTTTTTGTTTGTGTCTTTTTAATATGCCTACTGACAAAATTTTTACATTAGCAAACCTCTATTAGTTCATAGAAATTACTTCAATATTTAATCATGTCTGAAATTCAAAATTCTGGCACCATTTCTGAAAGGCAGTTGTGATTGTCGCCCAGCAAAATTCTTATCAGTATAGAAGAGTGGAGATTTCAAAAAGAAAATGGCCCCAAGCCCACATCCTCCCTGAGTTGATAAGACTCTAAGATCTTCCAAATAGTTTTAGGCTAAGTCTTATGAAAATTTCACTAAAGATTTCTTTCCCTTTATCTCTGTCTATCAAGGAAACATTGCTTAAAAGTTGTGTCAACCGGGCACGGTGCTCACATCTGTAATCCCGGCACTTTGGGAGGCCAGTGCAGGAGGGTCAGTTGAAGCCAGGAGTTTGAGACCACTCTGGGCAACATAGCAAAATCTCCATCTCTATTTTTATTTTTTTTAAAAGTTAGTGTCAAGTATGTGGTTGCAATGAATTAGCAAAGCCTCTAAAGGAACACTATGTGCCATTTAATCAGAACCAGGCTTCGAGGACACTGTCCTTTTTGTGAGACACCACATGTGACTTCCTGCTCTTTCACCTTTGGGACTCTGGGTCAGACATAGACTTTGGTCCTTAAAAACAAGAAGCTTAAATAGTGACCTCATCTTAGTTCTTATAATGTAATCGCAGATCAAATAGCCATGATTCATAAACCAACACAAAGGGGCCCTTTGCTTCCTGGCCGACTCCAGAATGAGTGAACAACATGACTAACAGCCTCGTTGAGGAGCCTTTCTCCAGACTACCTTGCTGGGTCCCGGATATTAATAGTCCTGGAAAGTGGTTTCTACAGCCGCTGCTTTGCCTGAAAATAGCCGTGCTTTCCCCAAACATGCACATAACACTGCCTTCTCTTAAAGAGAACCTCTGAAATAAACAACAGTCACCCTTGTCCTGCTAAACAGTGATCCCATGGGGATGAGTTTTATCCTCACCTTCTTGCTTCTTCAATGAACAAGTAGTAACCGGCAGCTCCTGCATGTGCCTCAATCTGAGCCGGCATACCATTGCTGGCCGAGACTGTATAAAGTGCAAACAGAAAAACACAGGAAACTAACATCTGTATCAGTGAACACATTTTCTTTCCTTTCTTACAGGGTTTTGGAAATTTGCCCATCTGCATGGCAAAGACCCACCTTTCTCTGTCTCACGAACCTGACAAAAAAGGTGTGCCGAGGGACTTCATCTTACCTATCAGTGATGTCCGGGCCAGCATAGGCGCTGGGTTCATTTACCCTTTGGTCGGAACGGTGAGTGAGTCACATTTTCCAAAAACCCGCCCCATTCTGCACTGCCGTGGTGCCTCAAATCATTATACTCCACCCACTCTTTAAAAATCATGGATGAGGGATTTAGGGAGTAATTAATAGTACAGTATTCGCTATTTTTCCAAACACTCTGTCTCACCTACCTTTGCCATTGTGGTTTGGGTTTTTCTTTTTTTAGATCATGTGCTCAGGATCTTTAGAGTCATAATACTAATTTCCTTCCTAAGGCAAGTATGAACATAACTTGGGAGAATTCAGCCTGTTATTTAAACGGTAGAATGGCTTAGGACAGTGGTTGTCAACCTTTATCACACATAGCACCCAAAATGATGTACGACAGTGGCGTTTACTGTTCACACCAGACAGGATCTGCCCAGTCACCCCAAGGGCTGAGGAAAGCAGTCCTCTCGCTCTCTCACTGCCCCAGCACATCAGGTGGGAAGCTCTGGCTTAGGAAATCAGTGAATCACATGAGTTCTCATTTTTGATGTTGTTGTGATGGGATTTCGTTGCTATTGGATGATTATGCTGTTATTTTGTGTTATCTATGGGGGTAAAGGAGATGAGCAGAGAAATAAAAGCTTATCGAAGTGCTTAAAATCCATGAAGATGGGCTTCATTTGGTACAGCTACACAGTGATAACCTTCCGTTGCTACCATCTGTGGCCTAAATTCGACTTCTTGTCTTTGGGAGTGTTCCTGAATTTGATTTAGAACAAAAAAGAATTCTTACAACCTGGCAGATCCCATGGCAAGCAAAGAAAAAAATATTCTAACCCATCATTATCATCATCATTATTGCAAAGTGATCTGAGCTTAAACAGCGTACATTATAATAATTTTTTATAATAAACCATGTGGCTTTATTGTGCAAACAAGCAATAGGTCGACAAAAAGTGCAGATTCTTACCTTGATATTTACATACTTCATCTAATACTGGACACAGTGTTTTTTCAATCAGCATTTTTTAAATTCTTCCTGCATGTGAGGCACAGAGATTTTAAGATGAGCAGGTGTGAGATGCATAGGTTTGAACAGCACAGAGGTGCCTGGAGAGCACTGCGTTGGCATTCTGAATGCCCTCAGAGCGCATGGGGTAACAGCTCATTATGCCTGGGGCAGAATTTACCCGGGATGTGGAAGGAGAAGGGATTCTTCAAAAAGGGCTCAATCTCTGAACTGGCAAAACAGTGAGTTTTGACTCAAAGGCACCAGAGTACTAATACGTGACATCCTCTCTTGGGGTGGTCCAGTGTGGCTGGAGTTGGATGAGGTGGGAAGGCTGGGGATGGGAATGGGAATGGAAATAGCATTGGGATAGCAGGACAGAGCCACATGGCCAAAGATCTTGAAGACCATCTCATGGAACTTGAATCTGATCTCGTACACACTGGGGAGCCACAGTAGGATGGGGTTTTTTTGGTTTATTTCTTGGTTTTTTTGTTTTTTTGTTTTTAAATGAGGAGGAGAAGAATGTAGTCTGATGTGTATTTTAGAAAAATAGCTCTGGCAGCAATGTGGAGAACGTTTAGTGAAAAGAGAACCCGGCCCAGAGAGGTGGGTTAATTCAGCTGGGGCCAGAGGCAATCAAGGTCCGTACTTCGGCCACAGAAGTAGATACGGAGAGTGGGGGTGAATTGCAGACGTACTCTAAAAGTATCCTCCTACCGTGGGGACCGGGGGAAGGGACTGTTCTAGCTTGGTGACTCTGGCTGGTGATGCCATCGGTCATGGAAAGGACACAGGAGGAGGCCGATTTGCAGGGCCAGAAATGAGCCTGGCTTGGGTGGAGAGAGCTTGGAGGGTTAACGGGATCTAAGGAACAGTCTGTGCCTCCACTGGAAATACAGACACAGCGCTCCAAAGAAAGGGGCAGGAACGTCACCCTGGTGGGTTTAAGGATATCGGTGAAGGCAGTCGTTAAACAGGAGAGACACAGGGATAGCTAGAAATCAGTGAGAAGAGAGCAAAGGAAGACATCCCTGAAACACCCATGTTAACGCAGTCGACTCCTAGCAGCGGTGCCTTCCAGGAGGTGGGAAGGAAGGAGCAGCAACATGGCAGAGAACGTCCAGAAAAATCCCACAGACACCGCTCGCAGCAGTGTTGACACAGGGAGAAGGGTCCAGATGAAATGGGTTCTGAATGACATTTTCAGGTCTACAGTTCAGATCAGTGGTTGCCAGGAGTTGGGGGAGGGGAAGTGTTTGACTGCGGAGGGGCAGGAGGGAACTTTTTGGGATAATGGAAATACCCTATGTTTTGACGTGGTAGTGAGTCCATGGCTATATACATTCTTCCAGACTCACAGACCTATACACGTGTGATGCCCAGGCTGGACTCAAACTCCTGGGCTCAAGCAATCTTCCCACCTCAGCTTCCCAAGTAGCTGTGACGACAGGCTCATGCCACTGTGCCGGGCCTGTGTATAATTTAATTATACCTCAGTTAACAAAAATCAGCACTGAAGAGCTTGCTTTATATTCCTTAGAATGGCCTCAGTTGGCCGGGCATGGTGGCTCAGGCCTATAATCCCAGGACTTTGGGAGGCCGAGGTGGGCGGATCACGAGGCAGGCGAATCACAAGGTCGGGAGTTCGAGACCTGCTTGGCCAAAATGGTGAAACCCCATCTCTACTACAAATACAAAAATTAGCTGGGTGTGGTGGCTGGCGCCTATAATCCCAGCTACTTGGGAGGCTGAGGCAGGAAAATCACTTGAACCCAGGAGGCAGAGGTTGTAGTAAGCCGAGATCACGCCACTGAATTTCAGCCTGGGCAACAGAGCAACACTCCCATCTCTCAATAAATACATATATACATACATACATACGTACATACATACATGCATACATATATAGAATGGCCTCAGTGATGGCCACTTTACTCCTGAGCTTTAGTTGGTGAAGGCCTTGGCTTAGGGATTAGAGGGGGTGGCTGGACAGTGCAGGCCCAGAGAGACCGTACCATCAGGGGAGGTGAGGGGTGACGGAGGTGCCCAAACAGAACATGAAATGGTAGAGTAGCTGAGAAGGTTAGCTGCGATCACGATCTGCCCTGTCCTACCCTCTGCAGACTCTAAACCCCGCAGTAGTTCATCCAACAAATTCACTCAGCCAGTGCTGCATAAGGCACTCAGCTTGGGGCTACAGGGAGCCCCAACCTAAAGAAGCTTTCTCTGCTTCAGGCAATTTACAGCTGCTAGACGCAGATAGAAGTGAATTAGCAAAGAAAATAGTTTGATATAAAAATTGTGCATTTAACTGAAACCTGAATTCACTTCTGAGCATTTAATAGCCATTAAATAAAAACCAGGGCCCGCATAGTGGCTCACATTTATAATCTGAGCACTTTTGGAAGCCAAGGTAGAAGGATTGCCTCAGGCCAGGAGTTCGAGACCAGCCTGGGCAACATAGGCAGACTTCGTCTCTACTTAAACAAAAATTAGCCAGGAGTCATGGCAGGCATCTGGAGCGCCAGCTACTCAGGAGGCTGAAGTGGGAGGATTACTTGAGCCCAGGAGTTTGAGGCAATAGTGAGCTATGATGATACCATTGCACTCCTGCCTGGGAGATAGAGTGAGACTTCCGTCTCTTAAAAAAATGAAATAAAATAATAAAAACCACAATATAATTTAAAATCTTTGGAGTCACTAAACAAACATACAATATGAATCTCCTCCCACTTCAGCTAACACCACCATATCCAACATCAGGTAACGACCGAAGTCGTTCTGGAAAATCAGAATCTGTTGCCATGGCTCATGCCTGGACACCAGGCTGTCCGCTCCTGACGTCACTCTTTGACTTACGACTTGTTAGAAAATGAATGTGTGGAATGGCCCTGGAGGAGCTGCTGCAGCTCCCTGGGTTTCCTGAAGTGAGCCCTCTGTGTCATTATCTGGTCTTCTCAGCCCTCAGCCAAGTTCCTCCTGTGGCCACACGTGGGGTCGCGGTGAGCGTCAGTGCATAGTGATGAAATCTGGAACAATCGGGTGTGGGACATGAGGAAGGGAGTGGTGCCTGACTACAGAAGTTCCTGGAGGTCAGGAAACTGTCACTGGAGGCGGTGGCCCTAGAGGGCTGCTTTCTATGACAGAGCAGGAAGCTGCATGTGTACTGGGACACACGCACCAGAGGGGCCAGGATCTCCTAATAAGGGCTGGTATTTACTTTTACTTGACCCCATTCTGGGCCTTGCCACAGTCTGCTGAAATGCCTTGAACATTCATCACCCGTGTGGGAGACAGGATAGTAATTTCCTGCTGAGATGACTGAGGAGATGGAGAATGGGGACACCAGGGGGACTGGCTCCTGCAGGTGGGAAAATTCTAGCAAAATGAATCACTCATCTGCTTAGTCACCCAGTGTGGGCTTACTAGAGTGCTGCTGAAATACATATTCATCTATCCACTCCAGAAAAATAGTCCAAACTGAGACCTCAAGATCAGAAAGGCTCCCATTCTCCTGCAGGGTTCATTCATTTACTCAGTGAATTATTAAATGCCTGCGGCACACAGGGCCATCAGCCCCGTGGCTATGAGAAAGATTCATCCCTTCCCTCACAGGCCTTATGATAGACTCCAGTAAATAAAACCATACAGGCACAGAATGTGGCGGGCTTTATAACAAAGGCAGAAAGCCCCTCTTGTTATGTCCTCAAGGGAGGCAGAGAAGCTCCCCTCTGGCTCTAGTTGGAGAATCCCAACCCAAGCAAGTCCGTCCTTGAACAATAAACATCTCCAGCATTGCTGGCTTCGGAAGACCCCGTGGTGAGATGCTGGAGCTTTTTTCCCCTCCAGATTTTGCTTTCTAAATATTTACTTTTACTTTCCATGTTCCCTTGTGGGCCAGATTTTTTTTCCTACCATTGAATTGTTTCATCATGTTCTATTTAATTATTGCTTTAATTGACATTGGTGACCACAAATAGTAATAAATACTATTAACTGGCGTAACAGCTTCACTAGTCTATTTCACTTC